CATCATGATGTTTCTATCTCTCTCTCCTCTCCCTTCCTCTCTGATATCATAAAAATATATATATATATATATATATATATATATATATATATATATATATATATATATAAATGCTCATGGAGACTCTGGCAGCCCTCTTGCCCTCCCAGCTCTATGTGGGAGAAGGTATCATCTGAGGTTCCAAGGGGAAGCTTATAGCAGGCCTGGGGGCCTGGCCTGCAGACCTCTGGCTAAATCCTCAGCCAGGTACTGAACCCACCTGTGCCTTTGCTTTTGCCTTATTAAGGTCTCTAGTTTTTCCTCAATTTCTTAGTTGAGCTTCTTTAGAAAATGCTAATCTGTTAGATATGCTCAGAGGAAAAGAGGGGATGCCCATGCCCAGGCGGGAGGGTGGTTGGAATTGCAGGACAGCCTAAGACAGCGGTTCTCAACCTGTGGGTCGCGACCCCTTGGGCGGTCGAACGACCCTTTCACAGGGGTTGCCTAAGACCATCCTGCATATCAGATATTTACATTACGATTCATAACAGTAGCAACATTACAGTTATGAAGTAGCAACGAAAATAATTTTATGGTTGGGTCACAACATGAGGAACTATATTTAAAGGGTCAGAAGGTTGAGAACCACTGGCCTTCTAGAAGAATTCTGGGGGCTCAAGTGCAAGACTTCAAGGCAGGTAGGCATAATGCTTTTATCTTATAGGCCAAAAAGTGGGAACCAAAGAAGCACAGTACCCCTCCAGCCTTCTGTTGAATAAACATGACTGAGCACCCTGTATACACAGGACATAGAGAGGTGGCATACAACACAGACACAGACAATATATCACATATATTCAGATGCAAGATGTGGAACAAAAGCATCCAGTGGATAGAAAAGGGCTGCTCTAACTGGGCTATCAGAGAGCTTCTCTGAACTAAGACTGGAGGAATGAGAAAGGCCTGGCTCTGCGAGGTGCAGGCAGAGGTAGCCACTGTGCTTGGTGTGGGGGAGGTTGAGCAGTGGAAGGGCCAGCCCTCATGAGTGGTGTGTGTGTGTGTGTGTGTGTCTGTGTGTGTGTGTGTGTCTGTGTGTGTGTAGAGAACACTAAATGACACTCAGCAGGGAAGTGATGTGACCTGATACAGATTCTAAAAGAATGGTAGGATGGTTCTGAGACTGGGTGAGCACAGCCAGTAGCAGGGCATGAATCAGCAGAGGGAGACCAATCAGGACACTACTGTAGCAGAAAGATTTATGGAGACAGACAAGAAATGGTTAGGCCCAGGACTGGCAATATCTAACCCTTTATCTCCATCTAAAAAACAAAAATGGAGCAATACAAGAAGCCAGAATGAGTGCTGAGTGGTGGCTCCTTGGTGTGTGGAGGTCAGAAAGAGAAGGAGAGCATGAGACACAGGAAGAGCCACCCTTGAAGTCGGAGGGAAGCACTAAGGTATGCTGCTGAGCACCACAGGGGAAGGAGGTCTGATGTTGGATAGCAGCACTACGAGAGAGAGAGAGAGGGGGGCACAAAAGCTTCATGGGATGGGCTGAGGTGAGAAGGAGAAATGTGGAAGCAAGAGAGGGCAAGTGCCAACAGCCCTGTGGTGAGCCCTGCTGGGACAGTGGTCTGAGAATCAGGACAGTGGGCAGGGGGTTAGGGGAGGAGAGAAGATGCACATAAGGTGTTTTAAAGTGGGAATCATGGCAGTATATATCTGAGCTGTTTGGAGATGGCCAGGGAGAGAGAGAAAGA